ATATGCATGCAAAAGCTGGACAATGAATAAGGAAGGCCGAAGAAGAATTGACTTCTTTGAATTATGGTATTGGTGAAGAATATCAAATATACCACGAACTTCCAGAGGAATGAACAAAGCTGTCTTGGAAGAAGTACAACCAGAATGCTCTTTAGAAGCAAAGATGGGGAGACTACATCTCAAATACTTTGGACATGTTATCAGGAGAGAATAGTCCCTGGAGAAGGTCATCATGCTTGATAAAAGTAGGTCAGGGAAAAAGAGGAAGACCCTCAATGAGATGGACTGACACAGTGGCTGCAACAATGGGCTCAAGCATAATGATTGTGAGCATGGTGCAGGACCGGGAAGTGTTTTGTTCTGTTGCACATAGGGTCGCGTTGAGTCAGAACCAACTTGACAGCCGCTAACAACAACAACAACCAAAGCTGCAAGTTGCAAAGAAAGAGCGCTAGAATGAGTTAGAAGATCTAGGCCTTTCTAAGCTACTTGACTCTAACAAATCAGCTATCATATCTCTCTCAGCCTCTGTTACACCATATGTCAGGTTGATATAATATTGGCCTGACTTTCATGGATTTATAAAATTCCTACTTTGTATCAAGCACCCTATTAGGTCCTGTTCTGGTGATAAAAAGTGCAGCGAGACTAGTCAAGCCCATTGAGCTCACAGTTAACTGTGGGTGAATATATATGCAAGCAAATACTTGATATAATGTGATCAGCACTGTTATTGATCACAAGGTACTACAGAAACATAAAAAGTTATCACTCTATTTCTCCAAAATTATGGAAATTTCCACTATCCCTGATGTACCACAATATAAAATAAGCAGCATTACTTTTGAAATATTCTTGCCAAATTAATTTAACCAAAATCTAATCAAGGTCTTAGATCTAAACTTTAGCTTACAGGAAATGCAGGAGCTTGAAGAACAATTTAAATGACACCACAGGGAAGCATTCAGACAAATCTAGATGGTGAGTTATTCTAAAGAGCAACTAGTTTGATCTTGTCAACAAGCCATTGTCCTTAAAAATAAAAAGAAAGATTCTTTTAGATTAAAAGAAACTTAAAACATGTAACCAAATGCAGTACATGGTCCTTCATTATATCCTGGTCTGTACAAACCAGCTGTAAATACAGTAGGGATAATTGAAGAAATTTGAAGATCGGCTGCATATTAGAAGATATTAAAGAAATATTGCTAATATTTGGGGACTGTTAATGATATTGTGGTTATGTTGGAAA